CAGGCAGGAGCCTCTCACAGTCCGGCTCCTGCCTGCCATCGTACACCTACTGCATCCAAGACAGCAGCGTGAGGTGGCAGGGGGCTCCCCAGGAGTGGGGCCAGAAGGTCATTGGTTGCTGGCCCTGCCCCCAGGGACAACTGAACAATCATGTAATTGATTAATTTTGGTGTGCTTACATGATTATTAAATTAAATGGCATCAAACATCCCTAGTTGGAGCAGGGCACTGCTTCAGGGAGGTGGGGGATGAGGAAACCCAGATATTCTCATCATGCCTTGGTTGTTGGGCGCGCTGGGGGGAAATGAGTATAGAGGACCCATAAAGCAAGGCCAGGCCTGGGTGTGCTTGGCCCATTGATGGCTCAGTGTTCTGCCCTCAGTGTATTGCCATTTTAAATGGTAGAACTTTCAGGATGTGTAGTGAGCAATCAGCACTGACCCCAACCCCTCTCTTTTAGTCCTGACCTCATGTCCTGGTTTTTTGACCCTCAGAGGTGACAACCCAACAGGAGTTTTCAATGTATGGGCTCCTGGCTCTGCAGAAGGGCCTGGAAACCCTGAGAACCCCAGCTTGCTGCTTTGAGATGGGGCTTTTCTGGTTTCTTGAGTCCTTGCATCACAGCTGGATGCTGGCACTGCTACGTCCCAACTGGAGCCAGGACACTTGGGGCATCTTAGCTCTCCAAATCCCAGTAGAGACTCCAGTACCTGGAGACTCCCCAGGTTGCCCCCAACTTCACAGGTGTAGCCCAATAGGAGCCCCTAAAGCTGGAGTTGAGAGTTCTTTCTAAATGTCAGAATTTTCTATAGAGTATAAATTTCAAGTTCCAGCCAGCTTTGCCTGTCACTCCAACTTCATGTCCTACATAGCAGGCATTCTTATTAACAGCTTTTCACCGTATCTTCCCCAGTTCTCTAAAGCCTGCCACTGCTCACTCCCTAATAAAACATTTCCTTGACCCTGACTATTGCAAATTAAAAATCAGAGCTTGAAGGAACCACTTTGTCTGATCTCTCCAAGTACATGTAAATAAGAACACAAGAATGGCCATACTGGGTCAGATGAAGGTCCATCTAACTCAATAGCCTGTCTTCTGACAGTGGCCAGTCCTAGAAGGCATGAACAGAACAAGGCAACTATCAAGTCATCCATTCCATCATCCTGTCCTAACTTCTGACAATCGGAGGTTTAGGGACATCCAGACTATGGGGTTGTGTCCCTGACTATTTTGGCCAATAGCCATTGATAGTCCATGAACATACCTAGTTCTTTTTTTGCAGTTGAGGCTTTCCTCCAGGTTAATTGTTGCAAATTCTTAGAAACTTTCAAGAGGCAGAAATTCACCCAGAAATTGTTCAAATGCAGGATCTTTCAGTTTTGTACCTTTATAGTAATTTCATCTAGGCCACATTTCCCTAGTTTTTTTATGAAAATGTATGTGGGACTGTATCCAAAGTCCTTCTAAAATCAAGATATGTCATATGTACCATTTCCCTTCATTCAATAAGCCTGACAAAGAAGAAAGTTAGGTTGGTTTGGCATGATTTGTTCTATAATCTGTGGTCTGTGCTATTTCTTATAACACTATTACCTTCAGGTGCTTATGAACTGATTGTTTAATAATTTGTGCCAGTGTCTTTCCAGTTATTAATGTCAGGTTCACTGGTTTATATATGTAGACACTCTTCTCAAACCCTTCGTAACCAATACCCCCAGCTATCTCCGAGACACTACTGACTTCCTAAGGAAACTACAAAACATCGATAACCTCCCCAATAATACCATCCTTGCCACCATGGATGTAGAAGCTCTATATACCAACATCCCACATGAAGACGGATTACAAGCAATTAGAAACACTATCCCAGAGGACACTACTGCCAACCTGATAGCAGACCTATGTAACTTTGTTCTCACCCACAATTATTTCCGGTTTGAGAACAACTTATACCTCCAGATCAGCGGCACAGCCATGGGTACACGCATGGCCCCACAGTATGCTAACATCTTTATGGCTGACCTAGAACAACGTTTCCTCAACTCCCGTCCCCTTTCACCCCTCCTCTACCTACGGTACATCGATGACATCTTTATGATCTGGACACATGGCCAAGAAACACTGGAGATATTCCACAGAGATTTCAACAACCTACACCCCACCATCAACCTCAGCCTGGACCATTCTACACGAGAGATCCACTTCCTGGACACCACCGTACAAATCAACAATGGAAAATTAGACACCACTCTCTACAGAAAACCCACTGACTCATACAGTTACCTACATGCATCCAGCTCCCATCCAGAACACACCACACGATCCATCGTCTATAGCCAAGCCCTTCGATACAACCGCATCTGCTCTAACCCCACTGACAGAGACCAGAAGCTTCAGGATCTCTACCAAGCATTTATAAATCTCAACTACCCACCCAGAGAAACAAAAAAGCAAATTGAAAGAGCCAGACGAATACCTAGAAACCATCTACTTCAAGACAGACCCAAGAAAACCAACAATAGAACACCACTTGTCATCACCTACAACCCCCAACTTAAACCTGTCCAACACATTATCAATAAACTACAGCCTATATTGGAACAGGATACCATACTCAAAGAGGCTCTGGGAGACAGACCCATAGTCTCCTATAGACAACCACCTAACCTCAAGATGATTCTTACCAACCACCACAGGACATACCACACTAATACCAACCCTGGTACCTTCCCTTGCAACAAACCCCGTTGCCAGCTTTGTCCACATATTCATTCTGCTGATACCATTATTGGACCTAACCAAGTGAGTTATAAGATCAAGAACACATATTCCTGCGCATCCAGAAATATAATCTACGCTATCATGTGCCGAAAGTGTCCGTCTGCTATGTACATTGGACAAACATCTCAGACACTTCGCCAAAGGATTAATGCCCACAAAACAGATATCAGACAAGATCACAAAGAGAAAACAGTTTCTTGCCATTTTAACCAGAAAGGACACTCTCTCAATGACTTGACCACCTGCATTCTGCTACAAAGACCTTTTACATCTGCACTTGAAAGGGAATCCTCTGAACTGTCATTCATGTTAAAATTCGACACTTTCCAACAAGGACTTAGTTCAAATGTTTGTTATCTCACCCATTACCAAGATAGTTTCCCCAATTATCACCTCTAATACCATTAACTCACAAACATCCCACTCTCCCTACCTCTAATATCATCAATTCACAGACACTTACCTTCCTTCCTCCCCCTCCCCCACCCCGCATCTCCCTTCTGTTCTGCAATGTGATTTGTCCTTTTCATATTTGTTCTTTTTTTTAATTGTATCCTTTGGTATATATGGTTGTGACTATTTTCTTCCACTATTTGATCTGAGGAAGTGGGTCTGGCCCACGAAAGCTCATCATCTAATAAACCATCTTGTTAGTCTTTAAAGTGCTACATTGTCCTGCATTTTGCTCCAACTCTTCCTTGTTCTTCTTTGTAAATGTATGTACTATTTTTGCCCTTCTATTGTCCTCTGGGACCTCACCCATCTTGCATGAGTTTCATAAAGATCAGGTAATTAACTTTTTCTCTTGGTAACAACAATATTTTATATTGTGTTAGTTAAAACATGTTAATATTTTTTCTGACATGATGAATTTTCTTAGCATAGATAAGACCTTAATGGCCCTAACTAAACTAACACATAATGAACACATCTCATTTAAGTGGTTTCTAAATATTGGATAGCACCTAGTATAGATATGTTAATTGTTAGGGGAGAATCCCAGCCTCCTACCTATGGTTCATCTTCAGCTGTTGTCATATTTTACTAGAAATTCATGGTTTTAAACTGCTCGCTATTACTGGCATTATTCTTAAACTGGCATGCATGTGGATCTAAAATATCTGCTGTTAGCATGTGACTGGCATTGATTTGTAACTTCTGCTGGGCTCAACATAGTATCTTTACTAAAGTTCTTGCTATGTCTTTAGATTTCGGAACAGACTGACAAATTCCTACGTACACCACAATACTGATTTACACCTCAAACTTGTACTGAATCTAAAGAACGAACGAAAGAAAGAAAATCCATACTAACCTGACCTCTTTCAAAACTTGCATGTGACCTTGAATGCCTAAGTTTTCTTTTGCTGGTGTCTCCATTCTCTCCAAATATTGTGATAAAGACATCTGTATCTGTTCCTGATGCAGGTAATATTCCCGTGTGAACACTGACTGAGTAAAGAACTTCTACCGTGAAAAATAAATAAATAAACTGTTAATAAAAATCTATGCCAAGTATGCAAATAAACTGAAAGGTTATAGGATAAAATGAATATTAATTGATCCTATCTTTCCCAGTTCTTTAAAAGCCTGCCATTGCTCATCACTCCCTAATAAAATCTTCCCTTGACCCTGACTACTGTGAATTATTATGATATTAGTGTGTATCACATTTTCCATCCAAATAATTCAGCTTGGTAAATACTTCTCAATTGCATGTTACAGTGTTAAAAATGTTAACCTAGATGTTCTTTACGAATGAATGTCAGAGCTCATGTTCATATTCAGAAGAAAAAATCCCTTAGTTATTGAAAGACTGTTTCAATGCCCACTATAGTGAGTTGAAAGCTACTCACTATCTTCAATAGGTTTGGAATCAGGCCCAAATTCTCTTTATAATGAATACAGACCTCAATTCCAGTTGGAACTTGCTCACTATAGCAACATTTTATGAAAGAAAAACACAATATTAACAACAAAAATATTCCACTTTTTGTTCTAGCTGCATTCAGTATTAACCTATCAGTTAGCTAATGTATGCCACTACCAATTAATTTGGTCTGGGGAAGGAGTTCAACTATTTACATTGATAAGCATTAATATTATTCACTACAGACAATAATTATCATCTGGCATGATTTTTCCATTAGGCAGTATAACAAGAACATTTTTTAACCAAGTATGTATTACTTCTGGGTAGATCTGAATACTGTAATATACTCCAAACATCTAATTTTACGTCCTGTCCAGCTTTGAACTGAATAGGAGAAGAAACAACCTTTAATGTTTGGATGGAGTAGACTTTTGTTCATAATGTTTAAGGAATGAGACTTTTTCTCCTTTTAAATACTGTATAAAATACACTTAAACCCGCGTTTTAAAATAACACTCATATTAAAAACAAGTGATCATGTGGTACCTCAGGATGTGCCTATACTACACCATTATTTCAAGATAACTAGAGGTATTTCGAGATAAATAGAGGTATTTGAGCATTTACACAGCCATTCCGTTATTTCAAAGTAATTTCGAAATAACGGATGGCTTATATTGAAATCTGTAAACCTCATTCTATGAGGAATAGTACCTATTCCAAAATAGCTATTTTGCAATAAGTTGTGTGTAGATGCTCCACTGCTATTTCAAAATAGCCCTCACCATAGCCATTCTAAGTTATTCCTCCCAGGGCTCTAAATCAAGATAGTATGTCTACATTAGGGAAGCCTACCTTGGACTAATTTTGAGGTTTCCCTGTAGTATAGATGTGCTATTTCAAAATAAGCTATTCCGTAATAGCTATTTTGGTTTTTAATAAGCAAAATAAGCATCTACACGGCATGCTTATTTTGAAATAAGCTATTCTGTAATAACTATTATGGAATAGCTTATTTCAAAACAAGCATGCCGTGTAGATGTACCCTCAGAGACTAACCAAAATACATAAAATCATGAGCTTTTGTGGGCAAAACCCACTTCCATCAGATGAGATGCAACACATCTGATGAAGTGGGATTAATCCATGAAAGTTCATGATCCTATATATTTTTGTTAGACTCTAAGGTGCCACAGGACTACTTGTTATTAAATTCTGTGTGTATTTCTATTCCTACAGCACATCGCTTGGATGACAATCCAAATATAAACATATTGAGACACATATTGGCCAGAATTTCAGACTTTTGTCCTTAAATGTAAAACTCTCAATCTTTTGTTTGTCCATGCAGTTTTCAATCATCATTTTAGCATGTATTTTAAATTAAAGGAACCAGGTCCCCAAGTGACATAAGTTGACATAGTGCCAATTATTTCACCGGGATTGCACTAGTGTGGCCCTCTATATTCTCAGTGTTCGACTTGGCTTTTGATGTAGTGGAAACATTAAATAAATACATGGTATTTGCTTCAAAGAGGACAACAGTTAACCATTGTTAAACCTTCTTAGGCTTTGTTAAAAATCCAGCTTTTCACACAAGTACTTTAATCAAGGATGTCAAAAGCAACTGGGAATGACTTTTCTAAAATATTTTATAATCTTTCCCATCATTATGTTTATTCTAATTGATTCACTTTAGAAAACATT